CAAACCTTTGTGCCAACTATGAGCTAAATATCCAGGCTTATATAATATTATTGTAGTTATAACTTTAATCGGGCCGTTTTTAAAAATAGACAAGAATCAGGCTTTTTAACAACACTGTACGAAAGTTTTAACCTCTATTTTTTAAAAATTAGGAATACCAAAAGTGATGATTTCCGATAAGGAGCCAAATTTAGTAATTCAAACTCCATCAATTTCCGCGAATAAAACGGGATTAGGCTATTGTATAGCTGTCCTTAATAAAGATCTGATATATTTGTTGAATTCTAATATATTTCATAGAAATGAAAGGTTGTAAATATTTTTGTTTGGTGAGGCTTTGTATTTAAAAATTATACAACTACCGTTCCAAGATACCTTAATAAAAAATCGAAGTTGGACCGTGCCAAGTATTGATTTGGCGGGGTCTGGCCGGGCATAAAAAAAAATTTCCATTTGCAGACCTTTAATTCCTAATACCGGCAAATAAACTAAATGACGGAGAGATGGGAAATGTTTTATAGTCAAAGCTTGAATAAAAAAGTGGGATGAAGTAATTTAGCAACTCTTCTTTGTGCATAAAGAAATGATTTAAGGGCTTGATAATGATCAGATCCCTGCGAAAGTTCTCCCGAGATAATTTAGAGTTTTACTAGATGAATTGTTTAAAAGGAAATAAAAACTAAATTGATTATTGCAAGCATAAATTCATTTCAGATCAAAGAGCATAGGCAAGAACTAATAATTCTAAAACAAAATAGATTGTAGAAAATATTTATATACGTAAGCAGTTCACTGGTGTCGCGATAATATTGGTTGGACACATACCCGTTGTTTAGTAGCGTATTAAACTCATTTATATCTCATCAGCTCAGGATCCATTTAAAGCTTTGTGTTCTCCGAAATGTCAAAATTTTAACAATTAGATCGTGAAGATATTTTGAGAAAATGAATTATATTTAATTTTCTCATACCTTTGAAAACACTCTTAAGTAATAAAATTAACTACTTTTTGTAAACTCGTTAAATTAACTAAATTTTTTTTATCATCGTTTCCAGATTCACCGAAGATGTTTATTTCAATATGTTTGGTCATAGTTATTTATTATATTATAATAGTTCCGTATATTTATCATATTTATAAAATGTAAAATTTTTTTGAATTTACTACTCTTGTATTTGTAGCAAGTTTAATATCAATCCAGGATTTCACGAATGACTTGGCATTTTACTTTGAACATGATTTCACGAATGACTTGGCATTTTACTTTGAACATGATTTTTCGATCAGACAAATTGTTATAAAGTTAAATATGATAAATTGATAAACTATTCTGGCAAATTTACGAAGGGAAAGGGGGCTTTTCTTGCTCCTCCTTCCCTTGGTTTTTATTGAAGAATATCACATGATTAAAAAATTAACATTATTTTGTATATATATTTATACATTATACATATTTATTATTCTAGCTATGACTTCCCATATAAAATTACCTGACTAATAAAATAAAAGAAGACATACATAAAAATTAGTACATTTATGTGACAACAAGGATAATCCAATTCCTTTTAGATGGAAAAAATAGGATGATGAAAGCATTACCTCTTTCATTTTTATATGATGGTCAGATTGCATTGTTCTTTTACTATTATTATTGTTGAATAATATTCTGAATAAACTTCTATCAAATATGATTAAATGACATGCACAAGATCAGGATGCGTATGCCATAATCTGTGTTAAAAATTTGTTGTAAACTGCTTAATCTTAATATAAAAAAAGAATTGTAACTAAAATTTTATATATTTCAGTTTTCATATCATCTTATCCATGCCGTTGTTAAGAAGAGATGTAAGAGGCTCGAGCTTTATGAAAACTTTAAATAACCCCTTGAAATATAATGAATACTAGATATAGTATTCTTTGTTGCAAGTATTAGGTAGAATCACTTTTTTTACCAATGTTAAAAATTATAAAAAATGAGCCCTCTCAATGAAAAGCTAATGACGACACGACACTGCTTCTCTTATAAAAAATCCTTTAGTTATATTTTCAGGTAAATATACATCATTGGTATAAATTCGCTCATTTTAGTAAAATAGGATGAAAAATTATTGAATTTATTTATCAAACCTGGGTCTCAAAACGAACATACATATGAAAAGATTATGAATTTTATTTATATCATAATTTAAAATTTTTTAAAATAATCAAAAAATACAAGGTACCCAAGGCCGTAGCCACGGAAAGTAAGAGGGGGTCCAGACCCCCTCAAAAATTTTTTGGCCCCCAAACCTGCCCCTTCCCCAAAAAAAGATTTTGCCCCCAAAAATGGCCCCCATAAATTTTTCCGGCCTCCCAAATTTATAAAAAATAATTGTAATTGATTATTTTTATATTTTTAAAATAAATTTTAAATATTTATTCAAAAACATGTCTTGTATGTAAATTTCTTCCTATCCTGTTTTATCCAATAATAAATCATCATTCATTCATATTTTATCATTTTCATGTGTGTTTGTGTATAACATTATATAGACGCTTAATTATAACGTTTAAATTGTACTTATTTCAATGATAATTATTTTATTTATTATGGTTCAATCACAATATTATTATCTTTTGAAGGTCTCTGATATAGATCTGGGTGCAAATCATAAAAAACCGGGATTTTTGAAGCTAATCAAATGGTTACTCAAAGCTTGATATATATATATATATATATTAATATATATATATATATATATCAAATCTATGGAAACTGATTGATACCGATTCGTAAATATTTATTAAAATAAAAAAGGTTCCTATTAAATTTTTATAAAATTTGGTAATTATTGTGCAGTGTTGTTAACAGCTCGATTTGGGCCGATTTTTAAAAATGGTTCTATTAAGATCTTAGACAAAATATTATTATCTAAGCGTGATATAACCAGTTATTTAAAATAGAGGTGAATATTTTAGTATTATAAAGAAAATAGTGAGATGACAACAATTTTGGTAAGCCAACAAATACCATAATCTTTATGATCTTAAATCAAGATTTCACGATATTTCTTAACATACAGGAGCTACCTTTCCGTGGGACTGGTTCAACAAAAATTACGGATGATGCAAATGTAGAAAACATAATTTATTCTTTCTGGACTATTTATAGCAATGTTTTCATACACTATCCAAAAAGATCCTGTACTTAATAAAATTACAAAATTTATATACAAAAATACGCAATATTCATCACGCAGATTCAAAATGAAGTAATATCTATTATGGTAGATATGGTGCTTGATTATATTTCAGATAAATATAACAAAAGTGAGATTTTTTTGTCTTAAGGCTGATGTGACAAAAGATGCATCAGGTTGTGAAAACCTAAGCATAATTATTTATATTTTCTCTAAAGAAGTCCAAGAAAATTTAGTAGGGATTATTAATTTAAAGTTCTGCTGAAAGCATTACTAATTCCATTTTAAAGCAACTTAATGAGTTAAATATTAATTCAACGTATATGATAAACCAGGCATATGATGGTACAAGCGTTATGTCTGGCCGAAATGGAGAAGTACAAACCCTACTTCAAAAAATAATTAATAAAAAAGTTCCTTTTATACATTGTTACAACGACATGTTGCATCTTGTGGTTCAAAATTAGTATAATAATATTGTTATCATTTCTAGTTTTTTTAATTTATTCAATTCATCGCATAATTTTTTAGGCTGTTTAACGTATCCTGTAAATATGCAGGCCATACTCTTAAAGGACTTTTAGCCCAGAGGTGGACTGGTCATTTAGAAACATCTCGCATCATTTATGTTAATTTTGAGGCTATTGGTGAAGTATTAGTATACTTTTCTAATGGAATTCTTAATTCAGAGGTTTCCACTCATGATTCTATCGAAGCCTCTAGTCTTTTATCTCAATACGTTAATGTAAATTACGTTACATTAGCCATTATAATTAATGAGATGTTAATAACAAGAGATCCACTATATAAGTATGTATAGTCAGAAGGTACTTATCAAGTGGATGCTAAAAATTGTATTGATACCACGATCAATATATTTAAAAAATATAAGAAGCAATAATTTTATTGATTTGATTAGAATAAAGGCTGAAAAACCTTTAGCAAAATTTAATCTCACTCATCACAAATCATCAAGCGTACGTAAAACGCCTATAAATTTCCAAGATTTTTTAGTCGAAACTAAATTACAATTTGATTTGCGAAAAACGCTCCAATTGGAATTCTTTAAAATGGAATTATTATAAAATTATCGATTACTTTGTTGATAATTTTTAAGATAGATTTACACAAGATGATTATAATCTTCTATCAAGTTTTGCATCATCCCTATTTGATAATGATTATTTTATATCAGACTGCCCGATTAGAATAATTATTAACTTAAATATGGAAACTTTATATCATGATATGGAAATAGCTAAAGGATTATTATATCTGCAGAAGTTAAAGAAACACATAATTTTGAAAATATCCTAAATATTATGTATAAAAAAAATCATCATGCATTTAAAGAATTGTATAAATGCTACTCAGCAGCCATCATATTGGGGTACCAACGGCTTCTTGGGTGGGTGGCTTCTTTCTCTATAATAAAGAGAGTTCTATTGAGCACATGAGGGTCGATGAAAAATCAAAGTGAGCAAAATTTAGTATTGATGGCTTATGAAAATAAATTAAGTATTGTTTTGTATTCATATAACATAATAATATTTTAATGAAAATAGCCAAAAATTTATATGAATGCTTAATTATTTGTTTTATTTAAAAAAAATAGTGGCTCCCATAAGTAAGCAGCCGGCCTCCCTAACTGAAAATTCCTAGCTACGGCCCTGAAGGTACCTCTTTTTTGGTATTCATAGTGCAAATTACTCTCATAGATATTCAAATAAATACTAGATATAAGTAGTAAAATTTATATGTGTAATATAATTTTGCTATTATTATAAAGAGCATTAGTCATGTTTTCCTAGCGTAATCGTAAGAATTTTCAAAAAAACATGCTTATTAAAAATTTTAATTTTGTCAATTGTATAAAAACATTTACAAATAATGGCTCTCAAGTTTACTTGAATATTAATTAATTAGTTTATTTTTATAATTAGAGGTATGTTACAATTATTAGAAAATATGCAATTCTAACCCAAGCCGCTCCTGTAGGGAAAAAATCATTTGTTCGTAATAAACCTCATATTAATATAGGCACAATAGGACATGTTGATCATGGGAAAACTACATTGTCAGCCGCAATAACAAAAGGTATTTTTTTTATAGTGATATTATTTACATTTACATAGTTTTATCAAAAAAGAATTTAGCAAAATTTAAAAAATATGATGAAATTGATAAAGCTCCTGAAGAACGACTTAGAGGTATAACAATAAACGCTGCCCACTTTGAGTATTACACAGATAAAAGACATTATGCACATACTGATTGTCCAGGCCATTTGGATTATATTAAAGTTTTATCATTTATATTATAATTTTAAGAGATGTGTAGAAATTTGTTTATACCATGGATACATTTATAAATTATTTGATAGTTCTTTTTAAATCTTATATTTGAATATTAATTTCTTTAAAATCATATTTTTATTATCAAATTACCAATGAAAATTATTTTTATTTTCTGTAAGAATATGATAACTGGTGCTGCTCAAATGGATGGAGCAATATTAGTGGTTGCTGCTACTGATGGGACCATGCCTCAAACTCGGGAACATTTGTTACTAGCAAAACAAGTTTTTATTTAATATTACATTAAAAAAATAGTCTTTTATATCTATTTACCATATTTTATTTAATATATAGGTTTGATGTAAATCAGGAAAAATATTTTGTAAGAAAAATACCCTGAAGTTTTGAGTACTTTTATTAATTGATTTAAATAAAATTTGCAATAAACTACATATACATAAATTAATGGATCATAATAGTTTTTCTAATTAAAACAAATTCATATAAAGCAACTTAAATTAATATAAAGAAAATAATAACATTTTGTCAGAAATAGATCAATAATAATAAAAGGAATTATAGTGTTGATGAAAATATGCCACCATATCCTAGACTGATTCTTAAAGTAAAGCTTAATATTAGTTCAAGTAAGTGATAATATTTCATGATTTGCTAAGTAGAATTAACATGGTATCCATATATAAACAACATCAAATGATTAAAGAAGTTGCTGATCAATGCCTTATTGAATATTATTTGAATATTTTTTAAAATAAAAATACTTCAAAGAAGATAGCCTATTTTTCTAAAAAAAAAATTAATACATGACCAAAGCAGATGTCCTTAGGTTATCCTTTAGTTGTAAGTCATCATATCATTGTGTCAATGACATGGTGATTGGAGTAATAACCTGAAGATATGATTTATACCCCAATAACATACCAGGTTAAGTTGTTGTGTGTGTTCTTCATTTTTCATTCATAAACCTCTGATCTTTGACTTGAAACCAATTACCTTATATTTGGATCTTTGCACTAATAAAACTATCAAGGCATAATGTTTAGAAATTAAATTGGCAGCTGGTGGGATAATGCTTTTTATCTGCCATAGTTTTTTATACAAATTAATTTATTTAAGAAACCCCAAATAATTATTAAGCAAAAATAAAATATACACTAATACTATTTTTTAATGAAAAAAAATGAATTATAAATTCAAACATATTTAATTTTATTGTTGTCATATATAGGAATAATTTTATTCAGATTTATGGGACATAAAGATATTTTCCTTGAATTCTGTAATCTATATCCTATGGATGACTTTAAAGTACAATTTTGTATCCATTTTCGAATTTTTGCACAAAATATCAAAGCATAAAAAAATTAAACCAGTTTGCTTTTTTATAAATTATTTTTAACACTTGACATAAAAAATATTAATTAGCACTCAACCATAATGCATTATAAGCTTTTAAAAAGGTGCATTTCAACACTCAATTTGTTCGCACTATGAGAGATATAATCGAATAGAGGAGACTCAGTTTGGTTTCATGCCTGGAAGATTAATCGTTGAATTGAGAGTAGGTGATTTGAGATAAATAAAGATAGGGATAATAGTTTTAAAGGAATTATGTCGATACCACCTAGTTTAGCAGGTAATTGGGCAAGGTGCCAATTAAGTCCGATAATGAGAGGTTGGGGATTCTTTCTATAAAGGTTATATTATGTTGATTGAAAAATTTTGAGGCGGTAAATGATGAGGATGAGTGGAAAAAATGCGAGATTTTAGATAGATAGGAGCATTTTTTTAATAAATAAAAATATTGGTGTGATGGAACATGGTTAATGAACTTTTCAAGGTTTTGCGTTTCAGAAAATGTTTTATCTATAATTTTTTGATATATTATTATTTAGTAATGGGAATCTCAAGAGTTGGATATCTTTTTTTTCAATAATAGTGTAATCTTTAAAAAAATCAGAGGGTATTTCCCTGCAACAAAATATCTAAAAAAATAAATGAACTACATAAGGAGCACACAAAAAATAATTTCGTCACAAACAAAACTAGCTCCTTTTAACGATGAGACCCTTCATAACAACCTATAATTCCTTCATCCACGCTACTCTTACATAAGCTTACCAAACCACCACTCAATATCCCCCCTTTCATAATCACGAACCAAGATATTTGTGAAACTATAAGAGAATTTAATAATTTTTTCAGCAGCAGTCCTGGATGGCTATGCACCATCTTACTTCTAAACATTTCTAATATCTCATAATTCCAATAATCTTTTTAACTCACTTACCACCTTCCTTAATAATATAACTATTAAAGATATACCCACATTAGCTCAGCAGATTATATTTGGTGCCAACTTGATTGCTTTCGAAAAACCTCATGGAGGCATCCGCTAAATCGCAATCGGTTCACTTTTCCAACTTCTGCCAAAATTATTACATAAAAAATAAAATCCAATTCTCAGTCCTTTCTGGGCAAATAACAATGAGTATGCAGAACTAAAGGAGGACTGCCTACGAATCTACCTTCAACATCCACTGATAAACTCTATGTTGTGCAAAATCGATTTCAAGAATGCCTTCAATACAATTTTGTGTTCCTCAGTACTCGATTTTTTTACGATAATTTCCCCCAATATTCGCGCTTCGTAGACATTTGCTATAAGAATAGCACTCCCCTCATTTCTAATGGTAACATTATTTTTCCCAAAGAGGGAGTACAACAGGGCGACCCTCTCGGCCCTATTCTCTTCTGCTTAGCTATTCACAACATGATAAAATAAATTAGACCTCGACCTTAACCTATGCTACCCAGATGATGGCACACTATGCCGTAATTCACATCAGATAAGCAAAGTCCTTAGCCATCTCAAAACAGAATGCATTAAAATCGGTTTACAATTAAACAAAATCAAAACAGAAATATGTTTCCTCAACCCGGAGAAGTGACGTATTCAGGATTTTCTTATGGGGGGGGGGAATTTTGGGGGGGTTTTGCTCCCAAACCCTCTTACCTGGCTTTGGTCAGCTTTTCCCCTGCCTTCAGCTGGGTCTTATGTTTTAGCTATTCTCTTAAATTATTCATAATTTAATAATAATTATATTTCTATTTTTAACTATTATATTTCTATTTTTAACTATTATTTACTAATTCATGCTTATGGATATAAATTTAAAGTTGAAATAAAGTTTAATGTCATTTTTTTTATAAAATTTGCTTTAAAAACTAGCCTCAGCATAAATTCTCATACAATATAAGTAGAATATAATTTTTTTTATTGAAAATACTAATAGTAGTATGTATAAAATATTGACTAAAATATAATTTTAAAAAAAAGTTTTTTTAACTTCTATCAAATACAATATTATACAGAAAATTTTAAATACTATAATTATAATGTGATTTTTAATTTTCGTGGGAATATTGCCAATTCATCAAGAATTTCGTTTGTCACTGGAACCGAATATCTGTGGATATTTAACAGAGCTAACTTATTTAGCCGAGATTCGGAAGTAGTACTTCTTAAATATTTTTTCAACCTTCTCAAGTTGGAAAAAGTCCTTTCATTCGTACACGTTGTAATAGGCAAACATGCAAGAATAAAAAAAACTTCAAAATGTTAGAAAATTGAGCCAAGGTTTCTTTACACCGATTGAGCGCATCAATAGCATTCTCAGGTAAAATAGCTGTAGTAAATATTTATACCACAATTCGAATTCACTGATTAAATTCATTTCAGTATCAATATCATAGGAATAAAATTTGCTAAATATTTAATTTTACCAATAGAAAACTAAGAAAGATCTTCGGGTAATAAAACTTGAAGATTTCTAAAGACTTGTTTTTTATCTAAAAACCGTATTTTTATTTGCAATAAAAAAGTATCTAAGAATGGGATGAAAATGGATATTTTATAATATTCTTCAGTTGAGCCAATATTTTAATCTCAATAATTGCCTAGGTGCTAGACAAGGTTTAATTAGTGTTATATCATAAAATTTAGCCTTCGATTCAACGTCTAGATAAATATTATGAAAATATTTATCTACATTCATTCTTATTGTATCCACCTGTTCGTATATATTTTCCGCCAAATCAATAACTTGAACCAAATCTAAATTTGGTTTTTGTAAATTTTTACAAAGTAGTGAGCTATAGGAAAATAATTTATTGATGCAACTATAGCAATGATTAACTCTGATTGATCAATTGAATTCAATAATGATATAGCTTCTGACGACACATTACTTTTTTTCATGCTCAGCCTTATTTAACTTTTGTATTTCTATTTCTTCTATTCTACAAAACGGAAGTAAAAATGAAAAATATTAAAAAATTTTTAGATATTTATTAATAATTAAAATACTTATTAATTTCAACTCACAAATTCCAACTCACTAATAATTTTGAATTTTGTAAAATAATTATATATAATAATAAAATAAATTACCGTTTGATTTCTCCTTGACTATAAGTTTTATGTTGGAAAATTGATATTCAAATATTTGTAAAATTTTAATTGGGGGGGGGGGGGTAAAATTTTTATTAGCTTAAAATGATATTTATAAAAACAGTCAATTTGCAATGGGGGGGGGGAATTTCTCTCTCCCCGGTTACGCGCCTGACCCGGAGATACCCTCTGATTTTTTTTAAGATTACACTATTATTGAAAAAGAAGATATCCAACTCTTGGCTCCCTATTACTAAATAATAATATATCGGAAAAATTATCGATAAACATTTTCTGAAATGCAAAACCTTGAAAAGTTCATTAACCAAATTCCATCACACCAACTTTTTTATGTTTTTATATCTATCTAAAATCTCGCATCTTTTCATCTCATCCTCCTCATTTACCGCCTTAAAATTTTTCAATCAACATAATATTCGCTTTATAAAGAATCCTCAACCTCTCATTATCGGACTTAAATTAGCATTTGTCCAATTACCTGCTAAACTAAGTTGTATCGACACGATTTCTTTAGAACTATTATCCCTATCTATTTATCTCAAATCGCCTATCCCTCAAATCAACGATCTCATCATTTATAACATCCAATGATGATCTTTTAACCGCCAATCTAACGTTGGAATCAACTTACCCCATAAGGTTTTTCATTTCCAACTGAAATATCTAACAAATCTATTATTGAACCCCAAATAAAAAACCTACAAAATAGCCTTAATCCTACAGATATTAACGACATACAATTATAACAATCCAACGATAAATATGGAGAGCACGAATGGCTAGCACTTTCAAACCAAACCTTAGATAATCTATTAACCAAAAAACAACTGAGAGTTACTATAGGATTTAGACTTGGATGCTCACTTACACAACCACACATATGCCACCAATGTAATTTCCCCATACATCCTAATGCCCGACACCCCTTAATTTCACCCGTAGTCAAGGTCGTCATCTCAATCATAAAGCTATCAACAAAATCATCCATAACGCATTAAGACAAAAATTCCCAACATCCTCGAACCAACTAATTTTTCATTACAGGATGGCCTCAGACCTCACGGTTTAACCTGCACCCCCTGGTCCAACGGCAAATCCCTTATTTGGGAAGTAACTTGCGTCTCTTCCTTTCCTTCCTCAATTGATTCTAACCCTCTAACTAGCTTAATAAAAAAATTAATAAATATTCAAAGCTTAATAATTTTATATTTCAGCCAATAGTCATATCAACTAACGGCAATTTTTTCCAGTCAACATATCTTTTCTTTAAAATTTTATCGCGGAAAATATTTAAATAACAAACTAATACCGCTAATCTATATTTCTCAAACAAAAACTTCAACTTGAAATTTTTAAACATAATTATACTTGTTTTTTTAGGAACACACTTACTAAATTAAACTCTTCTTAGAGCCTTGATACTTATATATATTTATTTTTATTTAGTAATTTTAAATATTTTTATAAATAGTTATTATAATTTTTAAATTTATATGAATTAAACTAAGTGTAATCATAAAAAACATTTATGCAATTAGACAAATGAGTAAAAGTTACCGGGAAATAAACAAAAACCCCATATGGTCTTTCTCAATCTAGAGAAAGCTTTAGATAGAATTCCAAGAAAACCTATCTAGTAGTCGCTACGCAACAAAGAGGTTATTTATCAGGAGTGCTCTTTGAAGAATTTCCCACAAAGGGAAGATATACAGTTCCATAATACAACTAACTAGCCTATATAGTTTGGAAACATGGCTAGGCAAAGAATAAGACGAGAAAAGTTCACAGACAATGGAAATGTGAATGCTGAGAATGATAGTAGGTAATCAAAAAAGGATAAAAATACAAATATACTGGGAGGTTGAAGGTAGTACGGATTAAAACAAAGATCATGGTAAACAGACTGGCATACAATGAGAAGGCCTAAAAACTATAGGAAACAAGATTAAGAGTTTAGGATGGGTAAACGAAAGAGAGGAAGACCAAAACTTCAATGGACCTACAAAATTAAAGCTATATCACTAAATAAATTGAATAAAATGTATGAATAATATAAAATTGGAAGAGATATTGAAAGAGCTTACCACCTGAAAATGTGAAATTAAATAAGAAAAAAAATTATTGCTAAATTATATATTGCGTCATCTAAATTTAAAAACATTGAACTAAACCCCTTAATCGGGTTTAAACATGTTTGAACTCAAACTTATTAACAAATTTTCTAAACTTAATTCCGTCGAACATTGGATAGGTTTGATTTTCGGTTTATATTCATAATTTTAAATTTTAACTGATTATTAAATAAATTTAGATAGGAATCAATCATATAGTCGTTTACATCAACAAAGCTGACTCTGCTGATCAAGAAATGTTGGATTTGGTAAAAATGATTGATTTATACCATTTATTTTGCACTTCATGTTCATGTAAAATATTTTATTATATTTTGAGTTTCCAATTTCTAATTATATATTTACTTCCTGAAAAATAATATTTTACAATTCAAATTTTATTTAAAGGTTGAGATGGAAGTCAGAGAATTACTTAACCAATATGGGTATGATGGAGATAACACTCCCATTGTATCGGGATCAGCATTATTTGCATTAGAAGTTTTTTTAACATATATGTTATATATTTATATATGTAGTAAACTTTGCATTCTATAAAGGATATCTTATTTTTCTATTCATATGACTGAAGTATCTATGAGGATAAGCATGCTCTACTAACAATCTATTAAGTTAATTGTAGAACGTCTGAAATATTTTATAATTGAGCAGCCTCTTATAGTAAGTAATCATTTTATCAAAATTATATATTTGACAAAAGGATAAAGACCCCAAATTAGGCGAGAAAACCATACTCAAACTATTAGATTGCGTTGATGAATACATTCCTATACCCGAAAGAATACTCGATAAACCATTTATGATGCCAATAGAACAAGTTTTTTCTATAACAGGTGGACTCAATATATTTCAGAACCAGTAGGCTAGACCTATTTAGCTTTACAGGCCTGGTATATTTGTCAGGTAGAACAGATTTGGTAGACATTTTTTAGAAATATTTTTTTAACCCCCTTCCTCATCTTCTTTTATGTTTATTTTTCTTTCAAAATCACGTAAGTTTCAAAAAATTAGTTGACTGTCCAGGTTATAATGAAGGTTGCTAATTGACTATTTTAGAATCGATGTTTGAAAATAATTGGGATTAAATTGACTGTGACCATTTTTTTCTACAAAAATTGATGATTGAAAATAACTGGGATTTAAATTGCTGCAGATAAATAATATTAATTTCTCACTTCAAAAACATTGGCTGCTATATTTCAATTAAAAATTGATGTTTGAAAATATGGGATTATAATAACTGCGATTAATATAACTCTTTTTCTCCTTCATTATGAACCTTTTCAGGTGCATTCGGGTAGGCCCCCTTTCTTCATTTTTCATGGTTTTGGGCATCGTCATTGATTCAAACCTTGTATTTTCATGCCATTACTATCACGTTCATCTAGCTTGTCTTAAGTCATCTCTCGGACATTTTGAAAGGAATGAAGGAGTTTTTACTATCTGATGTCCTTCCGGGCATCAACCTCTTTTGTTGATTTTTTACAATCCATCGAGCAAACAAGAATCCTATTCTATCCCAGATCACAGGGAACCTTTTAAACCTCCATTAGTTATCCGAAAACGCTGCTCATCCTCTGCTGCATTGAGACAGAAAGCAGAATTTTTACTTCAATTTGCAGCCCTTTTTTTATATGAAAATGACTGCGGTTAACATTACTGCTACTAATATTAATTTCCCATTTCCAATATGTGGCTTTTAAATTAAAATCGTTTGGGATTAAAATAATGAGATAAATACGAGTCCTAATTATTTATCATAAATAGTGGCCACATTTTTTTAAGATGAAAATCGATGTTTTGGAAATAAAATGACTGTGAATAAATACCATAAAATATCAGAACGAAGATGCCTCTTTTTTATTGGGAGTTAATTTTAAAAATATAATTTAACCAAGGTTTCAATTTTTTAACCTTATTTTAGGAAAAATAAAAACTTGGGCAAAATTTTGAAAACTCTAAAAACTATATTAATAATTTAAAATCTAATTAAATCTTTAACATGCATGCAAAATTAAGGATCGCTGTTATCCTACTACATACTCATCTATTTACAGTTACCATTATAGTACAATACAATATGAGTGGGAATTTGCGAATTGCAGTCATAATATTATGGGCCATAAGCATTATAAGTGAATTTGTGAATCGCAGCTACAGCAGTCATTCTATTGGTTATACTGGTCTTTGATATTTTTATTATTTTAAATATAAGTAAATATTAAAAATCTTGCAAAATCATAAGTCATTTTTTTGAAAATAAAGCATAATTTCAGAGACCTTTGAACCTGGTACAGGTTGTTAACTTTACCTAGGTTACTAGTCCTGAGTTTAAAAATTTTTTTTATTTTGAAAGAAAAAAAATCCAAAGGGGGGAAAATATTTTGAAAAGAATAATGTTTATCAAATATGCTCGCACCTGGCAAATATTTTTTTACACCTTCTTTCCCGAACTGGGGAAGCCAACTCGAATCTGACCTGCAGAACTATATTGTTTTCTAAGACCTCTGACCCAGCCTGGATTCCTGGGCCTGAATTTTTTTGTAAAATATACTCGGGTCGGGCTTTGCATTATAAAACAAATATTTAAAATCGTCATTATTAACTATAAAAATTAAAAAATAAATGAATATATTTAAAAAAATCCGAATCCTGGCCTGGTTGGGCCATGCAAATGGTACCTCTGCAGGTCCCTGATTTTTTTTAAAATCGTGATTCATTATGGTATATATTTATATTGAAAATCTGATTTGATCGGAAAAGTATTCCAACATGTATTTGGAGTACTTACATTATGAATTTCAGACAATTTTGCCGTAAACTTTTGAACTATACTTAACACTAATGTTGTTAAAAAGTCCAATTAGGATTGATTTTAAAAACGGTCTGATTAAGATTATAACCAATATAACATTATGTATACCTAAGGATTTTGCACAGATCTGGTTGGACATCTATTTGCGAAATCTCGATGCTTATATAATATTATTTTAGCTAAAACTTATAGGGTTTCCCATTCAAAAAAAGGAAAAGTCTCAATCATAAAAGGTAACAGTCCGATCAAAAAAAGAAAAGGGTAAATCATAAAAGTAAAAGGTACAATCAAAAAAGGAAAAGGTTCTATCAAAAAAGGAAAAGTGTCTATCAAAAAAGGAAAAGGTTCTATCAAAAAAGGAAAAGGTTCTATCAAAAAAGGAAAAGCGTCAATTAAAAAAGGAAAAGGTTCTATCAAAAAAGGAAAAGGTTCTATCAAAAAAGGAAAAGTGTCAATCAAAAAAGGAAAAGGTTCTATCAAAAAAGGAAAAGTGTCAATCAAAATAGGAAAAGTTTAAAAGACTTAGGAAAAAGTCCGATCAAAAAAGGAAAAATGTCAAACTAATAAGGAAAAGGTTCAATCAAAAAAAAAATGTCAAACAAAAAAGAAAAAAGTCCAATCAAAAAAGAAAAAGTGTAAATCAAAAAAGGAAAATCGTTATTTTTTAAAATTTTTTTTTATTATTCCTTCTTATTTTGTTTCAATTAAAATGCACAAGAAATCAAAATAAAATATTTTAACATCAAAGCATTTTTAAGAGGTAGAGTGGGGGGGGGGGTTCTTCTCATTTTTATCTTTTTAATAATAATTTATAAATTTTTCCTGTCATTTTTCCTGTCATTTTTCTTCACTTCTCTACTCCATTTTTATGTCATTTTTTAACAATTCTTTCCTCTTTTTTCATCCTACATGACTATGATTTTTTCTATTATCTTTAGCATATTCTAACTTTTTTAATCTCTTTAAGTCTTTTTTAATCTTTATTTTTCTGATCTTTTCTCTATTTTTTTCTTCTTCTCATTTTTGATCATTCTTTTTTTGTAATTATTTTTAATTTTGAGTTAATTTTCATTACTCATATACAGACATTTTTTTATTAGATTTTTTTGCATATCAAATTATTTATTCATAATTACGATGTATTATATAGTAAGAAACAAAATTTATATTTAATAATTTCCCCCTTCTACATTTTGTAATATAGGTCTTTGTATTTCTAAAATAATTCTTTGCTTTCTCCTCAGATATTCCTCTCTCTCCATGCTCTATAAAACGAATTAATTCATCTTCGTTATTGGGATCTTGATTTCTGACTAAATTCTCATTGAAAAAAACACATTTGGTAACTATTTTATTGTATACCCTCTTCTTTCGATCGATTCCATAATTGTATGGTTATAATGAAATGGAACATTATCAATCACAAAAATCATATTCATTATGTTGCCTTCTTCAAAATGATTTAGCATTTCATTCACAATTTGCTAAAGTGTATATCGCTGCAGGGGCCATTAAGAACCTCGAATCTGAATATTACCGCAATCGTGAGAACAGCAACTATAGTATAATTCATTGTCTTTATCTCTTAAACATTTTTAATTGCCTTTTTATTTATTTTTGAATATTCATATAACTGCCTCATTAATAATTGAAAACCCGCTCTCATCGATAAAGATAAATTTTTCTATCATATAGGCTACATCTACAAACCATTTCGCGTATTCTTTGCGAATCTCGATATTTTATTCGGTATTTTCTCTAACTGAAAGTAGTGATACTCTTTTAAAGCTAAACCAAAATTTGGATGGTAACCTTGGTACCGTATTTTTTGATATTTCTATATCATATCTTTCTTTAATCATTTCACATAACCTTTTTAAGGATAAAGTGCAATCCAAATTTATACAATTTAATATATATTCTTCCTGTTCTTGATTTAATTTCTTGCGTGCACTTGAACCTCCTTATATTTTATTCCATTTTTGAGATAGAGTATTTAAAATTTGTCACTGTTTTATAGCTTAATTAACATAATGCTATATTTTTCATACTATCCTTTTTTAACATGTCAATTATTAGAGCTTTTGTTTCACAGTTAATGTTTTTCTTCTTGTTTTTAACATATCTTCATGATTTTATTTTTTATAATAAAAAAATTTTTTTTTTAAATACACTCACAAATGTAATGAATGACAAAAAAAGAGTAAAATCCTTAGTTTACCTCATTTTTACTTTTAATTATTCAAAAATCAAAGAATATAGTATTAAAAATTACAAAAAATTTATTTATACTTCCTCAAAAGTATTGAATCTTCTTGCATACACATTAAAATTTTAAAATAGAATTTAAATATGATTATATTTTATTAATTTACATATCGTTTAGTATTAATTATAGTTCAAACTTATTTAATTTTAAAAAGTTACATTATAACCAAACGATTAATTTAATTCCGCAATTGTAATTAAATAATTTGATATGTAAAAAATTCTAATAAAAAAATTGTCTGCCATTGAGTTAGAAAATAAAGTGAAAATTAAAAATAATTGCAAAAGAATGATCAAAAATGAGAAGAAAAAAAATTGAGAAAAGATCAGAAAAATTAAAATTAAAAATGACTTAAAGAGATTGAAAAAGTTAGGGATATGTAAAAGACAACAATATAAGGAGAAAAAATCATAAAAAGTCAATATTGTTATGTAAAGTGAAAAAGAGGAAAGAATTGTTAAAAATGACATAAAATATGGAGTAATAGAAGTGAAGAAAAATAACGAAATATTTATATTAATTTTAAAAAGACAAAAATGAATTATCAAATATGAGAAGAAAAATAAATTGAGAAAAGATAAGAAAATAAAGATTGGAAATGACATAAAGAAGTCTTAAAAAGTTAGAAATAAAATAATAAGGAATAACAAAAATAAATAAATATTAAAAAATATAACAATTTTCCTTTGTCAATTGACACTTTTCCTTTCCTTTTGGGAATTTTACTTTGTAGATTGAGACTTTTCCTTTTTTAATTGGACCTTTTCCTTTTTTGTTTGACACTTTTCCTTTTATAATCGACTCTTTTGATCGGACCTTTTCCTTTTTTGATTGACACTTTTCATTTTTTGAATGGGAAACATTGTAATCGGGCCGTTTTGGAAAATCGGCCCAAATCGGGTTTTTAACAACACTACTTAACACATATTCATTTTATGTAGATTTTTCACCTAAATTGAGTAATACACAAAATTTAATGGTAAATAAATGGCTGATTCACATGGTAGTTACTCTACATACGCTTCCGATCTCCAAATTTAAAAATTTCTCTCAATAAGTGATATAAATTGAGAGATTCCAAATCAACGAGTTTCAACTTGATTCCATTAGATTTTCCTAAAATTTTTACTACTAGAGTTTGCATATATTATAACTAAGAAAAAATAAAATTTTAGCTTTAACTCCAAACAACGGCTTAGCTATGGGCCTGGCCTCTAAAGGTCGAAAAAATAGGGCATTTTAGGCAAAATGCTCTCCGCTTAATTTCAAATATCTCGTCATTTAAATTTCTTTCTAGCCTAATGGAAGGCCTTTATAGTTCTATAATGTTAAATATTGTTAAATAATTTTAAATGTCAGAAACCGGAAATGGTGATAAAATCAAATCATCATTTTTTCCTCTCAAATTATATATATATATTTAAAATAAATAATAAATGTGCAATTTTAAGTTGGGTCCATTTCAGGTTTAGGAGATATGATATTTATCAATAGTCATGTAAAAATTCGTAATAAATATGAAAAATCATTAATTATTTATATATTTAAATCAGAGACCTGCAGGGGTACCATTTGCATAGCCCGGCCCGGATTTTTTCGGCCCGGCCTGGTTTTTATATTTTCAAACTCTGTCCAGATTTTTTTACAATATTTATTTTTAATTTTATAGATAGTAATGAAAATTAAAATATATGACCCGGGTATTTTAAAAAAAATTCTTGGCCCGGCCCAACCTGTATATTTTAAAGAAATATTTTAGGCCTGATTGTATGTAATAAATTTATTTCGTTCCTAAAATTCTCATAAATTGGATTAACATATATGCTATGAAAACTTAAGAAATGTACTTCCTTGGATGATTAACCAGAATAAATCATTAATGATAAAATTTGCATTATCTGACATAAAAAAAATAAGAAATATGTTTTGAAAATTTTTTCAAAAGATATTCTTTTAATATTAACGATGAATGTGAAATCATTAAGTAATTGAAAAATAAATTTGAAACAACAAATACGAAATGAGGAAATTCAGATATTGACAGTTTTACCAAATTCTTGGACCTTAAAAACAAGAAGAATTTTCTACGAATTGAATCTATGGCAAGGATAGCAAAAAAAATTGGCCAAGCGAAAGGGTGTTTTATCCAACCAAATATTATAAAGGCTTTTTCGAGACTATTTTAGATAATTCGAAAATTTCATAATTCCTATTTAATGTGATTTCAATAAAGTTTAAAAGAGAGAACCAATTAAAGAAAAAACTAATTTTTTCTATCAAATAATTATAATCTAATTTTAATGAAACTTATATTGATATAAAAGTGAGCTTTAATAAATTTGCAGATTTAGGACCAATTTTTTTTCTAAACTAAAATGATTGGTTTTCGTAAAATTAAATTTTAAAATTTATCAAAAATTTTTTTCCTGATGGTGTAGTAATTTATATATGAATAAAATTCATAATCTACGCCATTATGAACTTGAAGTTGGAATCAAGCGGAACGACATTTTTTCGTAATAGCCCATGGCAAACATCATAAAGGATTAGCAGAAAGAGCTACCTTCAGCGTTCATATGAGAATCAAATATGAAACATCTTAGATTCATTTAATTTTTATAAAGCAAATATCATTGGAATTAATTACGCACATGTAAAAGATGATAATTGTGAAAAATTATCTTGTTCAAAAGGTCAAACCCATTTCCGGAATCAGAAGTTTCATGCTTTTATGCCATTTAGAGAAAATTAATTAAAGTTAAACTATTTTCATATTGTGAAAATTATTGATTTTACAATATATAAAAATTAAATTTTGTCTTCAAAAAATTATAATCACAAATAGATTTGTATTTTTTAGTTATTTTTATGATAAAAATTCAATTCAAAATAAATTAACCAAAGCCCCCCCCCCCACCCCACTTTTATTTCCTAGATCATAAATAATTATTCCTTTAAATATTAAACATAAATATAGCTTTTGACTTATATTATATATTTGATATTAATCAATGATTAAAATGCCATATTTCCTAAACTTGAGCTCGGCCCAACTTGAAATTTTCTTAATTATTTATTAATCTTATATCTAAACATAAAAAAAAATGTCGATTTGATTTTATAACTATTTTAGATTTTGGGCATTTAAAATTTTTTAAAAATAATCAATATTTTTTAACTTTAAAGGTCCACCATTAGGCTATATAGAGAAATTTAAGTGACGCTTCTAGCTCAACAATATCCAAAGATGTTTAAAATTAAAGGGAGAGCATTTTGCCCAAAATGCCCTATTTTTCGACATTTAGAGGCCCGTAACTCAGCCGCTGTTTGGAATTGTAGGCTAAAGTTTTATATACAAACTCTTGTAAAAATTTTAGAAAAATCTAAGGGAGTCGGGTTGAGAATCCGGGTTTTTTTGTTTATTTCTTATGGAATTCACCAGATTTATTACTTATAGCATAAATATTATTTTCTCTTTTTTCTATCTTTTTTTCTTTGAATGATATAGTGATGAGATTGCGTGCCATCTGATTGTTTAATTACAATAAAATATGATTATTAAAGCACGGGGCTCTCTGAATATAATCATTTCATATTTAAAAAACTTTTGTTTTATATTTTATTTAAAAAAATATCTTTTAAATGTAACATAAATTGGTAAATGTTTTTGCGTTAAATAAACTCAAATTAGTTTGTGTTAACCACATTGCAAAAAAATGTCACTTTAATTTAAATAATGAGGCATTTTTAGTAAAACAACCTTAAACACTTTTGCCCAATTTGTATGCACTATTTTCAAATTTTCATAATACAAATATTTTTTTAAAGCTTTTTAATTAATTAAAATTTCCTTTCTAAGGTAGAGGAACTGTTATAACGGGAAGATTAGAAAGGGGACTTTTGAACAAAGGAATGGAGGCTGAAATCGTGGGATCTGCTAAACCTATTAAAACTACTATCACTGGTAATTTTTACGATCAATAATTACTCTGTTGTAATGATTCACACCATCGATACCCTGAATATTATCTTTTGAATATCTCTTTAATATTTTTAGTTTTTTATTATTATTAAACATATACGCCAATGGAGTGTAGTTAAACCATGATATCATATGTTTTTTACACCTTTAAATTTTATTAGGAGTTGAAACATTTCAGCAAACCCTTGACAAGGCTGAAGCTGGTGACCAAATTGGTCTTCTTATACGAGGTGTCAAAAAAGAGGACATCAAAAGGGGTTGGGTCGTAGCTAAGCCTAAAACCGTGCAACCCAACAAACGATTTAATGCGCAGGTTGATTTATGAGCAAAAAAATTGGTGTACAAAATGTCTGTATAAAAGAAATAATATATTCGGACTGTTAATCATTTGTATTATAAATTTCATATTTTATAAAAGTTTCTTGTCGGATGGTAGATAGGAGTGTATTTTGAACAAATAATGATTTAAATTGAAATATTTTGTTTTTAAAATTGAATCAAAGCAATTAACAATTAAAACAAGTCAGTAAAAAATATAATTAAAAGCTTAAAAAGTAAATGCAAAGTATCAAACATCTTTCATAATTTATTCTATCTATTTTATTGACAATGTCTAAACATCGAATTAAAAATAAAAAATTTTGATTTAAAAAATATTGGACACTCATTATTGATGCCAACCTATATGAAAAATAACGTTTTAAATCAATTCATTCAACAATAATTTCTACAAATTTGATAAAATATAACTATTTTTTTAAAATATTAATTATAACATTACTACCTTTTAAAAAGCATTGATTGAAATATAATTATTACCTCAAAGAAAGTTATAAATAAAATAATAGCCATGGTATTAGCCAAGTTTTAAAAGAATCACTCATGACTTAGAAATCATTTATATTTTAAAATTTATCATTGCATCTCTTTTAAAATATTAAAATATTAGAATAAACTAATATATTTAAAAGAAATAATATGAGCACTATATGGACTAAAAAAATTCTCAAGATTATACACTGTGTTCCAAATAAACTGATACCCATTTTGTTTTAGCAATAAATCTGTCAATTCTATTAATAATTAAATCTTAAAGATTGAGAGAATGATAAATTATCAATATTGCAAATTTTATCAATAGGGTGCAGAGTTATGTACAATTCAAAGTTGGACAAATAAAATTCGAACTTTCCAACAATTAAAAATTCATTTTTTTATTAAACTTTACAAGACAAAAACATGATAACATCAACATTTAAAATTAATTTGAGTCAAATGTTATTTTAACAAACATTTGTATGCAACTTGTTTTTTTCTCATTGAAATTGCAACATCTTCTTATCATTTTGGATTTACCGGTTGAGTTACTGTAAACAGCTTTTCATCCGTGTACCATTTGAAATGAACTAAGGTTATTTTTGTTAAGTTGTTTGGTTTGTACCAAACAGGGAATCTTATTCCCATCGGTTAGGTCATGGGCTTGTTTTTTTTTAAACATTTCAGCTGCATCTCTTTGTGGATAATCTGATAAACTTTCAAAATATCAGTTTCTCGGGATACTTGATAAATTGTTCTGTGGGTGGCCAGGTCGGTTTTTTTGGCTCACTACAAGTGTTTCAACAGAATCAACATTTTCAATATACGCTGTGTGCTGTCTACCACCACTATACCGTTTTTCTGCTGATCTATTAGATTAAAGTTTTGTAATCAATCGATTTTGGCGATAGACCATTTTCTATAAGGAAATTCCTTCAGAAACCTTTTGGCTCTTTATAATGTTTTTCTTGTAAAATTTTAATTAAACTCAAGTCATCTTTACTGAAAACCATTTTTTTTATTATCTTTTGCTTAATGTAAAGTTTAATAAAAAGATGAATTTTATAACTTTGGACTCTATTGATAGAGTTGATGGCATCTGCAGAAAACATTCATAATTTATCCCTCTCTTAATGTAAAATTTTATTGGATTATTTTTAGAATTAACAGATTATTAACAAGAAGGGTATCAGTTTAATTGGAACACAGTGTACATGTTGACAAAATAAAATGTAAACGTTATTTAAATAAAGAGAAATTAGTTAAAACTAAGTATCTTGTGAGGTGCTTTATAAAAATATGATAACTTTTTTAAGTATATCAATATTTATTTTAAGACATTATATTAACAAATTCGATTTTTTGTAGTTATTAATTTTAAAAATTAAATATATTTTTCCAGATATATTTTTTGAAAAAAGAAGAAGGAGGAAGAGAAAAGCCAGTCTTGAATCATCATCGCCCCATGTTATTTTGTATGACCTGGAATTGTACGGGAGATTTGATACTCGGAGATAAGGTAACCTTTTTTGAGATCATCAAATATTTAGTTAAAATTAACTCTTTACTCAACTGAATTAATCAATTAATTTTTAGGCAAGGCTGGACAAACTGTGCAAGATATTTTTAATGGCTGAGCCAAAGTTTTTAAAAGGGTTTTAATGGCTAATAATTAGACAAATCAATCGTTTTCCTTCATAAAAAATCATTACGGGCCAGGCGAGACAACTTATACAAGATATTTATTTTTTTGGGGGTTAAAATAATTTACAAGCAGGGTCAAAAAATTTAATAGAAAATCGAGGCGGTCAGCGCTTACCTCTTAGTCTAAATTATAAGGTAGTTAAATATATTACAAAAGAAGTGCGATCAAAGAATAGAATTTAGAAATATTTTATTCATTCATAAAAATATTGAAAGGCTATGATAATGCCAGGCGAAGATTCAACAGTTGAAATAAATCTACTGAAGCCCATGGTCATTGAAATAGGTAGAAGATTTACTGTAAGAGACGGTGATAAGACTATAGGCACAGGTGTTGTTACAGAAATATTGAAACCCTACTCACTACAGGTTTCAGTTTTTAAATTAATACCTTCAGTCTTGTTTATTTACACAATTCATTTTACCCTTCATTGCACAGGTAAAAAAAATTATGCTAGAGAATAGGTCGTGTACCCTCAGACTCCAATTTAGAAAAACTATATATTAAAATCAAATTAATTGTAGTTTTTATATTTTAAAAATATATTAAATAAACTATAAGTTAATGATTTTAACTGTTATTTTAATAATTTAATGTTATTTTATCATTATATGACAGTTTTTGTCAAGAGAGTCGAAAAAGTGACAAATTATTTTAAATGTCAGAATTTGATATAAAAGAAATGTATAAATTTTGATGATGTAGAATGTTTATCTAAGTTCAGATATTAATATAATACTTTTAACTAATAAAATTATATATAAAAAAGTGTTTATTTATGCTTAATATATCAAAGCCAAAACAGATTAAAAAAGTTCCAAAAAACCCTTATTACTCATGAACTAGTAAATTAATTTTACATATATATACTTTTTTTTTAACTTTATTCTTTATTTTATTTAAAAAAATTTTACATAAAACCGAATTAAAAAAATTATAATTTATAATTATATAATTAAAAATAAAATTCTATAATTGAGTCCTCAAAAAGGAACCATAATTGTGTCTAAAAATTCCTATTTGAATTTTTTGTCGAATAAAAAGTAATTCTCTGGGTTCATTTGTGAAAAGTCGTATTTTATTACCCAGATTTTTTTAAAAACATAAATGTTGAAGGCGAAAAATACCCGTTAGTAGAAGTCGCTACTGGAGTGAATATGAAGTTTTTAAAATTTTTGTATTTGTTTGTCTTTTTAATTTCTGCCTGTGTTATTAAATTGAAATTTATGTTTGAAGGGAATGATGAGACACACATGTGGTTCCATATGAGTGATTTGCCGAGGGCCTAATAAACTACTAAAAGATTCAGGCAAAAATATCGAAAGAATTTTAAATAATAACGTTTTTGATATCTGCATAGTCCCACCTGTGCAATGAAGGATTAGAATAATTATGTGTTCAACTGGTATTTATTAATTAAAACATTATTATTATTAGGATAAAATGCTCATTTTTTTAAAACTATTGCGATTTGTTTTATATAGTAAATGAATATATTTTTTAGATGAATACTATGTATTTTTTATATTAGAATTTAAATTTGAATTTTTTTATAATATTTATAAAACACCAATCACGGAATTATTTATACCCTGTATGAACTGTCTTGCGATTAATGGTAATTCTATATTTGTTTATTGTTGCAATTTAGGAGGAAGAAACTATGGCCGCTGAACTTAAAAAATTGAAAAAAGAACGAATTAAATCTGAGCAAGAAAAAGCTATTTAAATAATAAATTTAAAAAAAAATAGATTTATAACATTTAAATTTATGAATTTTGTGTTCTCATAATATTCTTTAGTCATATATGTTTATAATTGATACATAAATAATATTTTATATTTTCACTGTATTCACTATATAGATTTTTTTAATCTCTGATTTCTATGATGGATAGGCAATAAATAAATGATAAGCTTATTTGTAATTAATAAAACTAATGACGATTTTCTTAATTAAATTATCTATACTTTCTTGGAGATATGAATTATAGAATAACAGTTATTTGAACGAAAATAAGTTCTTTAGCTATATTCTTTTATTATATTTTCATCTATTGGCAAAATAATTAAAGTTTTTAATTCCAAATATCTATAATACAGGCTTTAGTGAGAAAAGTACATGATTCCAATTCTTAGTACAAACATTTAATTATATACTTCCAACTCAACTATAATGAAATAGATGATATTATATTCAAGAATTCCCAAATTCAATTGGATTTCTTGTATTTGTATTAGGTTTGTATTCCCGAGAACCTGGAAATTTATTGAAAGAGAAAAGGAAATATTCCAAAATTCCCAATTTTTTAAAATATTTTAATATAATAATCATGAATTTGGATATTTATTATTCTCGTAACTCATTTTTAATAGTTTTTATCAAATTTATTTTATCTGACAATACAACTTTAAAAGATTACTTATACCAGGTATATAATTACGTGAGAATTCTATTTAAAAAAAGCCAAATCCAAATTTTTCTTAAACATGAATCTTGAATACATTCATTATCTAGTAGCTCACATTTTATAGTTTTTGTTTCCTAAGCCTAATAACAGATATATCTAATTTGGATGGAGTGAGATATACTTCAAAACATCGTGGATGCTATGGGCTACCCAATCATTATTTACAATTTCCCAAAGAATTTTATCAATACCTCCTACTAGTGCTTCATCAGAACGTATATATTCATTTTTTGGAAGCACACACACCCTAAACCAAAAAATTAAGGTAGAAATGTTGGTAGCAATTTGGCATAATTTTTACTTAATAAATCAGCAATTTTCTTCTACTCAATCTAGAAACAATAAATCTTTGGAAGATTATCAAAAATCGAAATATCAGATTCGATGATAAAGGTTGATGATAGTACTAGTGAAATCGAGTTTTGATAATATATTTTACTAAACATTTAATGTATATATTCTTATTATATTTATTATTTATATTATAATTTATCTATTGCTACATGAATATAATAAAATTTAATATAAAGATTGTTGGTTAAAATTTAACCAATATTATAAATTTCCGTTTATTTCCCAAATTCCCATGGGAAAGTTACTGCGATGAAAATTCCTGGAGATTTTCGAATCCTAATTTTTATGAAAAATAACTTAATTAATTACAAATAAAATTAGAAGGCCGGCCTAACATCCCTCAAAACTGAATTTATTTTAAAAAAAATAAATAAATTCAGTTAAAATATAAGAGGATTGAAAGAAATCTCTTACGATTTCACCTGAAGTAAAAAAATATTAAGCAATTTTATCTGTTTATTATTATTTATTAATAATAGTTCACAATTAAAGAACAGACAAGGTTATTTTACTCGCCCGAAACTTAAAATATTTTTTTAGAAACAAACTTATGAATAAAGAAAGAACTCTTTGGAATAATTAGATATATCAACGTTACCTCCATTTTTTTAATCAGTAACTTGCTAGTCTCTTTTTTTGCTACTTTATAAAAACTTAATTAGTGTGTACAGTTTTCACAAAGTTTTATAAACTGGAATAAATCTAGGAGACCAGAAACCATCTTAAGATTCCTAGGAACTAGAAGACCTTTTTAAAAGTTGCAAGAACCCATTCTAGCAAAAGTATTACTTAAGCCAATTGTTTAAGTGATCCATTTTAAAGAGTATTTCAGTGCTAAAAAAATTTTTTTATTGCTTTAACATAGTTTGGAACCGGGGCATATCTTAGGAACAGAACCACTTTCAAAAAATATATTCGGATTTTTTAAAAAATTTACGTTAAAACTGACAGTTTATATTTATTGCAATAATTTTCTTCGAAAATATCTCATGTAGAACCCTTAAATAAAATTTTTGAGGCTGGCACGAAATTTTAAATATTTTTAAACTCCGGCCCAAATTTTGATTTTAGACTCGAGCCGGCTCTAAATTTCTAATAAAAAAACATTTAATGCTTTTTTATATAGTTAAATAAAAAAAAGATTACTAATTGCTTTCTTAATCCCAGAGAAGTTCTAATTACCTTTCTTTTTTTCAAAACATTACTTATAGTTTCTAACCCCACCAAATTTTTTAAAATTAGAATCAGTTTGGTAAATCGATTTTAATACTAACACTTGAAGGAGTTGTACAAAATTTTTTTATTATAAGTCCGCAAGTACGACTCGTAAATTTTAAAATGAAAAATCTAAGTCAAAATATATAATTTTAAAATAAATAGTGTGTATTAATCGCATAGAAATTTTAGTTATCATTTTATTTTAATAATGAATAAGCATTCATTTATTTTTAATATCTTTAATCACGGCTCAATTTATTTTTCTATTTTATATAAGCCCAGTTTAATTTTATTTTTGATTATCTAAGCCCTAGCCTAATCAATTTTTTAGACCTGAACCTTGTTATGAGTCAGACTTTGGGCCGATATATTTTTTTAGCTTGTGGAAAATTTTAAGATCTAACAATTTTATTCCTTAGATGAAAATAAGCAACTTATAGTTTTTCCATAATTAATTATATAAGATTTTTTCCAAAAAACTGTTTTTTTATGTAGTGTATAAAATTTATTTACTTTTAGAAATGTTAAATTACTTAATATAGTAAAATCACCATATAGAGATAACTAAAGGGTTGTTTATTAGCTGATCACTATGAGTAAAGTCATTATAAAAAAAAATATAAATAAATAATATCTCAGAGACCGAAGTAAAGTGATTAAGAAGAAGTGGCCACATTCTGGGGTCATTTGATCTGCTATCTTGTGTTTTGGTTCCCATAAACATTTTAATTAACTATTTAGTATTAGGTATATATATATTAATTTTCGAAATTATAATTTTTATATTAATTTTGTAATAGTTAATTATTTTTAACAGCCTATTTTAATAATGTTATTAAAAGATAGCATATCAAGAAATTAGTCTACAAATAAAACTTAACAATATAAATTATTATTTTACTTCATATATAAAATAAATGCCTGGCGCGGTTAATAGAGAATAGAAAAAAATAAATATTCTAAAGCCTAATTTCGTTAAAATATTATATTTTATTTTTCATCTAATTTTAATGATTAAACGGCCTTCTATATGATCATTCCTTCATACATACTATTTTTTCCCCTTTTCCTACATTTTTTGTTTATTGTCATAATCAGGAAACCTAATTCCTCATTATTAGTTATTTTTCCATATGATATATATCTGGATTTTAAAAAACCGGGGCGCAACCTTAGGAAATTGCAACTGGGCCGAGCTGTGTACAATTTTGACGGACCGAGCCGGGCCTAAAAATTTTGCTATTTTAGACCCATAAACCTACTTTAGACTGCCTAACATGTCATAAGGAATGCCTTAAATGCCTTTCATATATGAATGATAAAAAATAAACATTCTTTTTTATAAATTTCCACGAATTTAACATTAAAAATTATGATTGTTCATTGAAAAAATTATTTTGTTAAAAAATGGTTTAAACTACTTTAAAAAAACGTGATTTTCATCAATAACCAGTGAGCAGTCTATGCATATATGTAATGGAAGATTGGAAAGCTACATAAAACTATAGGGGAGGGGGGGGGGTGAAGCTAGCTAAAAAAAGAAGGAAAACTCTTATTTCCTTCATAAAAATTATTACAGGCTGGATCAGACTTGTATACAATTATTTTACAGGACCTAAAACTTATCCAAAATTTGCAAGGACCTGATCAGCTCTCATCGGCCTTTGGTATGAATTAATATAAAATACCTTAAATCAAAATTATGGCCATCCACTTCGTATGGATTTAAATACTTAGCAATAAATGCAATTACATTTTTAGTATTTTAGATCACCACATTTTTTTTTAAAATCATCTTTTTTAAAGAGGGGTTAAGATTGCCCAAAATTTTAAAAATTTTGTGGGTATGGGAGGGGGGGGGGATTACCATTATTTAAAATTTTTTAAATGGAATAACCATCATTAGAGATCAGCATAGTCCGGTCCGGTTTATGAAAATGTTTTTAAGGCAGATAATTAGGCCGATTTATGTAATTTTCCTTCATTCTCTCCTCCTCATGATTACGCCACCTAATAGATGTTATTAGTCACTGACGATGAGACTTATAAATAGTATTCCCAATAATATATGATTTATAGTAGGCGGGGCTCTAGAAATCGCGGGGAGTGTCAAACCATTTGATCCCATTTTTAAATTTAAAATGTTAGCATATTTTTGTTCTAATAGATTTTAGTAGTTTATAACTCTGTCCCCAATTTTTTTTTAAATAATTAAGTATATCTATATTTTTTATAAGATGTCAAATTTAGATAATTTAACTTTTCTTTTCTAGCAAAGATAGAACCCTCTTATAAAAGAAGTTTTACAAATAATGGTATTCCAGATATAATTTTAATCATGATTAGTAAAGTAGTGCTAATGGGACATGCGAAACTATGAAACTTTGAGAATTACTAATGACGCATAATATGTATTTTATATTTATATTCTATTGGTATTTTGTGGATCATACCTATATCGAATTTTATGAAACTATTGTAAAAAATACAATGAATCAAGTATTCTATTTCTTCTAATTGTTAATGAAAATTATCAAAAATATGTTTTAATTTTTATATATAGTATATTTAAGTTAAATTTTATTGTATTCTATCAAAAAAAGATAAAAATGATATTTTTGTTCATCCTTAAGGCAGGCAAAAAATTCAATGGTTTGGGAAGTCCCATAAGATGTTTTGATGGTCAAAGTTTTTTGAACTAAATCGAATTCAAAAAATATTGCGATAGTGCCTATTAATAATATATTATACATCCCA